CAGCTCGCAGCTGGCCCAGATGCAGTGCATGATCACCAACGTGGAGGCCCAGCTGGCCGAGATCAGGGGAGACCTGGAGCGGCAGAACCAGGAGTACCAGGTGCTGCTGGACGTCCGGGCCCGGCTGGAGGGTGAGATCAGCACGTACCGGGGCCTGCTGGAGAGCGAGGACTGCAAGTGAGTACCACTGCGCTCTCATCTTCTGAACACAGTCCGCACAGTTCTGGAGAGACAGCACGGTGCCTGGGAAGAGCCCAGCCAGGAGCCCCGGGTTTCCTTCTGGTCTTGTTACAAATTCATCACATGACCCGGGCGAATCTCTTTTCTCCCCTTGCCTCTGTTCCCCTTTTGGCAAAAATAATGGGGCAGGTCTAGGTGATTTTTAGGTTACTCTGGGTAATGGAAAACAGCAATTGGAAATCATACTAATCTGGTGTTCTTCTTTCTCCTAGGCTGCCTTGTAACCCGTGTGCTCCGGAACCCTCGCCCTCCAAGTCATGCCTCCCCTGTCTTCCCGTGGCCTCCTGTGGTCCTGGCGCAGCCCGCACGACCTGCAGCCCCCGCCCCATTTGTGTGCCCTGCCCAGGAGGCCGGTTCTGAGGGTGCCTAGGCCCAGAAAGCCAAGGCCACTGTCTCTAGGACTAGTTGGCCTCTAGTTAACCCTAACCCTAGCGCCCCAATCCCTTCTCATGCAGAGCCCAGGGCCTCACCACAAATATATGCCATGAAGTTTCTCAGAGCCTGCCACGAAGGCTGGCCGCCCTCAAAGGCCTCAACTCCTCGTCATTTCAATGGGTGCCAGGGTCTTTGTGCTCAGACCCTCTTGGGTCAGCATTTCCTTCTGGGCGCTGTTCCAGTGGGATCTGAAATGCAACAAAGGGATTCAGAACAATAAAGTGCATTTGCTCTGGCTCCCGATGCCTAAGTAGCACCAGTCCAGCTTGTTGGTTTGTGTCTCTGCTGTGTGAATGGGGTGACTCTTGGGCAGATGAATGGGGGATGCTTGGCCATGATGCTGGGGATGGCAGGGTCCCTGTGCTCCTTTTTGGGGTGGGTAGAGGTCTACAGTGGTGCTTATTGTTCAGCGTTCCTGATGAAGACCTTTCTCCAAGAGTCCAGAGCGGTGGCAGATGTCACCAGACCTTCCTCCCTACTATTCAGTATACATGATCACCCTGGGAGCTCAGAGGAGGAGAATAAAACTGGGGCCAGTGCAATGGAAAGCATCTCAGGCCACTTCATTAGCTCATGTCTGTGGTCCTCCTAAGAGCAGCCGTATGAAGTCCTACACCAGGGTACTTCCAGGAGCGTGCTTCAATCAACCCCCTCTTCCACTGCAGCCTTTTTACACAGCCCCCCACCCCACTTCAACAAGCCCCCTGAAAACCCACCCTCCATCCAAAGCACGAGATCCGAGAGTGAGACAGCCACCGTGACTTCCACCCATAATTCAGAGATTCTAGCCCTTTAAGAAGCTCATCACCATCTTGTGTGCCCTTGACATCTGATAAGGCCAACCATGGGCACCAAAGCATTTCAACAGGAAAGTAGGAGCTCCCAGCATTTTGGCCCAAAAGCTCTCAGTTGGGCCCAGAATGTCCTCTCCCAACAGACCAGGCAGGCTCCAAGTTCCATCAATGCCAATGGGAAGTGGAGAAAGATGAAGGCAAGCTTTCTGAGATGGAAAGGAAGGGGGGTGGGCCCCAGATGGCCATGTGCTCTTTATAAGGTGCCAAGAGCACATGCTGAAGAGTTTCAGTGATGGTAAGAGAGTTAGAGCAACACTCAAGGTAGAAAACAGATTGGGGAAAATGCTGACTAAGGTAATGCTGAGGACCCCTCCCCGCCACACACACCTCTTTTAAGGATGCGGAGCGTAGTTCACCCTGATTCAATTTTAGAATCCTCCCCTTTCCAATCTCCTGGAAAGGTGGGTCTGGGGCTTCAGTTCTCCAGCCCCCTCACTCCTGGCATTCTGCACCCCCTCAGCTCTGGGCTTCTTGGAACCCCTTGGCTGGTTTGGCTGAGGCTTAGCCATCCAAACAGGATGAATGTCTCAGGATCACTCAGTTCGTTCAACAAACCCTTTCTGAGCACCTTCCTGGGTCAGGTGGTGTGTTAGGTACCAAAGACAGGAGTAACAGGACATCAGAGGGAGGCCTTGAGATGGGACAGGAAGGATCCCACTCTCTGTCTCTTTTCCTTCCTAATTCATCAGTAGGAGGAGGCCAGTGACAGAGGGCCATGGTGTAGAATTGCCAGAAGCTAATTCTAGCATGTCCGCAGGGCTGAATAATCTGGAATGGCTGAGGGCATTTTCCCAAACCTGAAAAGGAAGCTTGCTGCCAGACAGCTGAGGGCATTTCAATCTACATGTTACTGCCTCCTGCTGGCCAAACACCTCCTGCTGGCAGTTCCCCCAATCCAACAATGCCTCTGTATTGGCCTTTGATGTGTATATCTACCTTGCCTTAGGACAATTTGTGTTAATAAAGAGCAAGGGGTCCTGAAACAGGGAGGTTTCTTTAGCTAAGTCTCCTCTGACTCCCCAAAATGCCTTCCAAAATTATGTTTTGCCTCTGGATTTTTTTTATTGATTTACCACAGCCCTTCTCCAGATTCCTGAACCCTTCTAGCTGCTGGATAAGACCCCTGGTAAGAATGATGAATGTGGGCTCCAAACACAAGCCAGACTAACTTGAGTTCAAATCCCAGCCCCACTTACTGCCTGTGGGAGCTTTCGCAGGTGTAGGTCTCAGTTTCATCATTAGTAAAAGAGAACATGACATTGACTGTGCAGGAAGGTCCCTAATGCTAGCATTTGAAAACTGGCTAGTAATTATTGTGGACTCTATTCCAGCTGGATGCCCGGGTTGCTTTGAATGTGGGCACCCACCTTTTTCCTGCCCATGGTTTCACTTCTGAGGTTTCCTCCCAAGCAGCAATGCCCAGGGCAAACCAGGCCAGCCAAAATGGGTAAGTAGGGAGATGACTTATTAGCCACTCAGAGCAAAGTTAGTGGGAGAATCCATAGTCAGGAAGTGATACACGCACCCTCCCTCGACCACATAGCTCAGGTTAACTGTTTCACACAACCCACACTCTTACTTCATTCTTTGTGGTACAAGCCTCTTCCAAAACTACCCTAACTCCCTCCAAGATGGATCGCACCAGATCCTGTGCTGCCCTGTGCAGAAAGCATTACTGTCTACTTTATTAGCTTGTGATTTTCCATTGTAAAGCTGTTTCCACTTGGCCAGAGGTCCTCAGCTTTGGCCAAGGCTGATGCTTTTAAAACACATGAATGCCAGGTCTGAAATCCTGAAGTCCTGATGTCGTCGGTCTGGAACAGGCCTGGTGTTGGGGTTTATGAAAGCTCTGCACGTGATTCCAGTGGGCAGCCAGTGGGAGCCCTGCTGGCAAGGCCCCTGGGAGTTCAGAGGCTCAGGATGCCTCTGATGCCGACCTTAGTGCTGTCTGATCCCCATGGTGTACTTAAAAAAAAAAAATTATTGACCTCAGAGAGGAAGGGGGAGAGGGAGAGAGAGATAAGAACATCAATGATGAGAGAGAATCATTGTTAGGCTGCCTCTTGCACACCCCACACTGGGAATTGAGTGCCCCGACCTGGAATCAAACTGTTACCTTCTGGTTCATAGGTTGACGCTCAACCACTGAGCCACGTGGCTGGGCTAACCTAACCTTTTCCATTTTCATGAGGAAACAGAGGCCCAGAGAGGTAAAGTGACTTTCCCAAGATCACACAGCAAATTAGAAGGTAATAATCTCTATCTTGACTTTTCTTAGGCAATGGATTCTGGGAATAGAGCTAGGTGGGGTTTTCTCTCCCCTGCCTCTTCACCAATACTTCTAGAAATTTGTGAAAAACAAGGCAAGTGCTTATACTCCAATATTAGGTTGAGAAGATGAAGAAAGAAGACGTGGCTATATCACACACACACATTACACGTGACGTGTTTGAGCTGGCGGGTATTACCACGGGACTCCCCTGTTGCTTTCTTAAGGAATGTCCAAGGCTCCTAGGATTGGAGATACCTGCTCCCCATCTCCTGGTGTAGCTCATCCCAGGGCTGCCAAGTGTCACTTCTCAAGGGAGCTGATGCCCCCTGTCTCCATCTCTGAGGCCCTGACGGGAGCCCTCCCTGCCCACCATTGCAGAAAGTGAGAGCAGAGCCGGTGCCAGCCTGGCCACCTCCGTCTCAGCAAACAAGAATTGAACTGGACAACTCTGTGCGTGGGGCAGTAAGCAATGAAAGGGTGGATCCAGAGATGGCCAAGATAGAGCATCCGCCTCACGGAGATGTCCATGACATTGAAGGTTTTCTCCAAGAGTGGTGTTCCCTCATCTTTCTCAGCAGTGTCCAGCTGAGAGGCTGTCCCTGGCTCTTACGGCTTTCTGACTTGAGTTTGTTCTCTTGCCCCAGATATTATTTCTCTGAAGATGATCAGTGCTCTGAAGCCTCAGAGGTTCTCTTCCCCACCTCCCTGGATTTCTACCGCTGCCAGTATCGATGCAGCTTCTGTCACCCACGCACTTCCTCCTTCAGGGGCCAGGCCTCAGCCACAGGGAATGCTCTCATTACTAGGAGCGCCCGCCGGTCCACAGAAGGGGCCTTTCTCAGGGCTGGAGCAGGCGGGGGCGCGGGGGGCCAGGCCGTGGGTGGCACAGGGCCAGGCCGCCGTGATCTCCTGGCGACTCCGCCCTGGTAATGAGGGCCCAGCACGGAGTCGATCCTTTGAAGATGTGTCCGGAAACTCTCCCCGGGTGATCAATGACAGGAGGCCTGCTTTAGCCAAATGACAAGCTTGGCCTCTTTTATGAGGAAAGGAACTGCTTATTGGAAACCAAATTACAAATTAATTAGCAGCTTCCTCGGAGGCCGAGTGTACACATCAACACCTCTTTCTAGGGCGAGCCCCCTCACTCCAAGGGGATAAAAGGCCCCAGAGGGGGTCTGTAGGTGTAGACGATCCAGGTAGCTGCAGCTCAGAGAAGGGGCCTCCGGAACACGGCATCCAACTGCCCATCCATCTCCACCAAGAGCTGCCCCCAGGCCTCTGTCTGCTCCAGCAGCATGAGCTGCCGGCCCGAGCTGTGCATGGGCTATGTCTGCCAGCCCATGCCTTGTGTGCCTTCCGTGTGCATGCCCTCCACCCACCGGCCGGCCAGCTGCCTCTCCAAGACCTACCTATCCAGCTCCTGCCGACCCAGTGGCAGCCGGCCACCCGCTGGCATCTCTGGCACCATGGGGACCTGCAGCTGGTTCTGTGAAGGGACCTTCAACGGCAGCGAGAAGGAGACCATGCAGTTCCTCAACGACCGGCTGGCCAACTACCTGGAGAAGGTGCGGCAGCTGGAGCAGGAGAACGCCAGCCTGGAGAGCAAGATCCAGGAGGCCTGCCAGTCACAAGTGCCCACCATGTGTCCTGACTACCAGTCGTATTTCAGGACCATTGAGGAACTCCAGCAGAAGGTGAGGGCAAGCGGCAAACAGTCTCCCTGGGGAGGAAACCGGGACGGCGGGCATTCTAGATTTGAATCTCGTCATTTACCAAGCTATGTTCAGGGAGAAGAGGCTTCCCCAGGGCATAGGATTATCTCGTAACTGGAGCACTCGGCCAGAGCCCTTAACGTGGAAAGGGGCCTGGGATCTAGTCTTCATTGCATGACTTTAGGAGGTCCCTTCCCTTCCCTGGGCCTCGGTTTCCCCATCTGTAGAATGGTCTTTACCTAATGGAGCTGCCAAGAGGATTACCTGAGTGGATGCAGGTCAAGTGCTTAGCACAGCCCCTTGAATGGGAGCCTTTCCTTCCGTATTGCTCATTGTATCCAAAATGGGGTGTTTGGATTTCTGCAGACCCAGGGGCTTAAGAAAGAAATCTCATGTCTCTATGGATGAGCAGTTCACTGAGTATCCCCCAGAGCTCCCAGGAGGAGGGGCTTCTGTAGGGATGACTGCTAGGCTCCTACCATCCTCTCCTCGCTGGGTTCTTACCCTGGACTGACCCCCTCTGTGGGCTTTGGCCTGCAGGTTCTGTGCACCAAGGCAGACAACGCCAGGATGGTGGTGCACATCGACAATGCCAAGCTGGCTGCCGACGACTTCAGGACCAAGTGAGTTTGGCCCTGGGGATGGGCGCCCTCTCTCCCCTGCACATGCGTGGGGTCAGCTTTCCATTACCTTCATAGAGAGCTGGAAAAGTGCCAGCCGTTGAAGGACTCCCCTGATTTCTGTACCCACCCGTCACTGCCAACCCTGTCCTCGTGCAGGTATGAGACGGAGCTGGCCCTGCGGCAGCTGGTGGAGGCTGACACCAATGGGCTGCGCAGGATCCTGGACGAGCTGACCCTGTGCAAGGCCAACCTGGAGGCCCAGGTGGAGTCCCTGAAGGAGGAGCTGCTCTGCCTCAAGAAGAACCACGAGGAGGTGAGCCCGGAAGTCAGGCAGACGCAGAACGTGGGAAGTACGTGGGGCTTTGGGTCGGACCAATGTGGGTTGGAAGTCCCAGGCCTGTCCCGTATTGTTTCTGTGACTTTGCCCGATGTTTAACCTTCCCGAGCCTCTTTATCTATACCTGGGAGCAACATGACCAGACAGGGTTGTTTGAGAATTCAGTGATATCTGGGGCTTGAAACACCTGTCCCTTGGTCGGTGCTCAGAAGGACTATCTTCTCTGCATTCCCTGGGCTTGCGTGACTGCCAGGTGCCTTTCCACTACATTTGTTTTTCTCCCGAAAGCCAAATTCCAGTGGAGGTGGGAGGGTGCACTGGAACCATGGGGGTTGTGTTCTGGAACCCTCACCTGCCCGTCTCTGCAAGGCTGGACTGCTGGGTGCCCCCATGTCTTCTCAGGGGGAGTTGAAGCGCAGTGGTTTCCTTCCTTCTGACCCCATCCTCCTCTTCCTTCCTCTCTTCTGTTTGCATCGAATAGACTTAATCCATGAGCCTCAGGTCAGCCTTTTGTGGCTCTTGCTCCTCTCCTGCAGGTCCTGGTGGGAATCCCCTAACACCTCCCCCTCCCCCCCCCCCAGGGCGCCTGCGTGCTGAACGCCCACTGAGCTCTGGTGTTTTTCCCTCCTTCCCTGTGTTGACTCTCAACCTCTTGACTTGGCACTGGAAAGAACAAGTGTCTCTGAATCCTGGCCGGGTTCCTTAGGCTTAAGTGTAAAGCAACAGCTCGTCACCATGCCATGCCAAGTGCCCTAAGGCACCTGACTCACCCCACCTAATCAGGGAACTGGGACCAGAACCGAGAAGCCGCTAATGAGGCGCTATCGCACTCCTGACAACTTTCTCTCCTTGGCAGCCAAGCCTGCGGGGGCGCCTGCTCTGACTTGGCCTTGAACCAAGTGAGGCCAGGCTTTTGCTGCCCCGCTCCCCAGATGGACACGCGGGAAGGATGGCCAGGGATGCAGGCCCACGGGCTCCCATCTTAGCTTAAACGCATGAAATGAACCCTGATGCTCATGTGTGAAAGGAGGTGGTTAGCTGGAGTGCTTCCCCCATCACGAGGGCATTCGGTTGGAGCCAGAGACCCTCAGGATACTCCAGAGCAGATGGCAGTCCTCCGGGGGCCCTTCAATGTAGAGATCTTCTTGTCCTGTCTTTCCACATCGCCCGGGAGGTGAGACCCGAATCCCACATCTTCACACTTGCCTGGGGCTCTTGCTCCTTTTCAGGAAGTTGGCACCCTCCGGTGCCAGCTTGGGGACCGCCTTAACATCGAGGTGGACGCTGCGCCCCCTGTGGACCTGACCAGGATGCTGGAGGAGATGCGGTGTCAGTATGAGACGGTGGTGGAGACCAACCGCAGGGACGTGGAGGAATGGTTCAACACGCAGGTGGGCCTCTCGCCAGTGGGCAGCTGCCCCAGTGTCCCCCACGAAGGCTCTGCCAGCCTCTTCTGTCTACCCCCCTGCAGATGGAGGAGCTTAACCAGCAGGTGGCCACCAGCTCTGAGCAGCTTCAGACCTACCAGTCGGACATCATTGATCTGAGACGAACAGTCAACACCCTGGAGATCGAGTTGCAGGCCCAGCACAGCCTGGTGAGTGCCCCTGGGGGGAGGGGGCACCTCTCCCGCATCTCTGGCTCCCAGGTGGCACTGAGTGTGGGTGGCACAGAGCACCCTGGAAGGAGGATGCCCATATTTAGCTACCTGGGCTGCTCGCCCAGCTGACCTTCCTTGGAAGGAGGTTTCTCCCAGGACCCAGCTCAGAGATAAAACGGGTGTCCCAGATCTGACAGGAGTGAGATGGCCGTGGTCAAAAATGGTTCCTCAAGAATGCTGATCTCTGCTCAGCCTGACCTTCCAAACCCGTGCTTTCCCACCCCACCTGTGAAGGTTTAAAGAACCAAATGCCCAGGTTCCTCCCCAGAAGAATGAAATCAGAGTTCCTGGGCCTGGCTGACTCTTAACATGCAGCCAGAGTAAAAGAACACTGTTCCCAGTCGATGCCTTAGAACAGTGGTCGGCAAACTCATTCATCCACAGAGCCAAACATCAACAGGACAACGATTGAAATTTCTTTGAAGAGCCACATTTTTTAAACTTAAACTTCTTCTAACACTACTTCAAAATAGACTCGCCCAGGCTGTGTCATTTTGTGGAAGAGCCACACTCAAGGGGCCAAAAAGCCACATGTGGCCCTCAAGCCGCAGTTTGCCAACCACGGCCTTAGGGAAGGAGCCCGGTGGACCTGAGCCCCAAAGCCTGAAGGCAGACTAAGGCTGGAGAAGGAATAGGGATTTAGGGTCACGCGGACCTGTGTTCAAACCCTGGTCTCACTTACCAGCTGTTTAACCTTGAACAAGTCCCTTTCCCGTTCTGGGCTTTAGTTTCCACAGTGACTGAGGTTGAGAGGGGTCATTCTCAACCCCAAAGAGAGGCTTGGCTCTTCCTGAGTCAGGCCATGGCAAATAGATCTGTTCCTCATAATTATGTATCTTCTCCTTTGCTCAGAGGGACTCCCTGGAGAACATGCTGACGGAGACGGAGGCCCGCTACAGCTCGCAGCTGGCCCAGATACAGTGTCTCATCACCAACGTGGAGGCCCAGCTGGCCGAGATCCGCTGCGACCTGGAGCGGCAGAACCAGGAGTACCAGGTGCTGCTGGACGTCCGGGCCCGGCTGGAGGGCGAGATCAACACGTACCGGGGCCTGCTGGAGAGCGAGGACTGCAAGTATGTGAGCCCGGCCGGGGCTGCCCCGGCAGGCACGTGGGCGGGCTGGAGAAGCCATAGGAAGCAACTGGGTCTTCTCGTCAGGGAGAACCCTGGTGTCATTAAGAAGGGATTAGGAAGCTGATAGGATCTGAAGAAAGTCAGGCAGGCATTCATGCTGCCCTCCCTAATCCTGGCCCGTTGACGATCCTGCTACGTCCCAAGTCAACAAATGCCTTCCAAGGGCCCAGCGGGTGCCAGGCGCCAGGGGAAGACCCAGATGGATGATGATAAGGCATCTGCTCTCAAGTTGTTCCCATCTGTTTAGAGAGCCAGGGACAGAGGCAACTGGAGGTGATACTGGGTGGAGGGGGATGGTTTCAGCACTGGGAGGGCAGTGAGTAGCTTCATGTGATGATCTGGGGTGGGAGGCAGACAGGAAAGGTCAGTTGGGGACCGTTCATGGAGAGCCATATGGACCATGCTGGAGAAGGAGGGTTTTATTTTATAGGCAACGGGAGGCTATATTTCTTTCTTTCTTTCTTTCTTTCTTTCTTTCTTTCTTTCTTTCTTTCTTTCTTTCTTTCTTCTTCTTCTCTTCTTCTTCTTCTCTCTCTCTCTCTCTCTCTCTCTCTCTCTCTCTTTCTTTCTTTCTTTCTTTCTTTCTTTCTTGGAGGAAATGATAGAATTTACTTAACTGCGGATCTCCCTCATTAGAGGATAAATAAATACCTGGACCTCAAAGACAATATAAAATATTTTTACCCCCTGCACCTGGCACATAGTAGATGCTCAGTAAACATTTCTTGACCAAGTCAGTGAGTGCTCACAGCTGCTCCTCAGGAAGAGGCCACGGATGGCAGGCAGAGGAAGGGCTGAGGAGAGGGGGGAGAGACTGGGACGCTGTTCAGGAGGCCCTGGCCATGGTCTAGGACAGGTAATAAGCAACAGGGTGGGGGGAGGGGGTGTGAATCAGGTCAGTGCGGCATCCGCCCCCAGCCGCAGTGCAGGCAGAATCACGGGGCTGAGTGGTGGTCTGTGTGCAGGACACTGCTGTGCTGTGGACCCCTGGGGGCTGATTACTGTTCCAGGTAGTTTCTGTTTCTACATTCACCCTTGCTTTTCCGTCATCTAGAATCTTGTCCTCTAAGACAAGAGCCGTGAAGTCAAATGTTTTCCTAGGACCAGGCTGTTAGCGGACCTGAGTGGCGTGGCTCATATAGGACTGTGGACCACTAGGGAGCTAGGCCTTGTCCAGTGTGGGTGGCACCACCCCTCGGCACCATTTCTATCACAGGAGAGTGGCAGAATTGCTGGATCATCTGATTGTACAAGGGAAGCCAGGAGTCTGGGTTTCTTTAAATGTGAAATTCTCTTAATTTTAAATATTTCAACAAATTAAAAGACAGCACAGTGCCAGCGTTTCCAGCTGGATGTGGTCTGGGGCTGACTGTCTGGTCTCTGGGCTCCTCGGTGTCCATCAACATCCAGCGTGTCCTTTCTGGTTCTGAGCCAACACCTGTCAGTCTCTGAGACCATCCTCTCTTTTCCCCTTTGCCGTGTGTTTCTTGATTAATTTACTTAATTCTATATTGATTAATTCACTTAATTAATTATTAAGAATCTGCTCTAGGCCAGGTATGCAGGTGGGCATGTATCTATGGCTACTCACCTCACTGCCCAGTGGGAGAGAGATCATACTACAATAATCACACATTGCTCTAGAAGGAGGTTCATGGTACCGTAGGAGAATTTGATGCGGAGAGATCCAGGGGGGAAGGGCGAGACTTCAAGGTGACAATTGAATTGAAGGAAGTTGCTCTTTGACCTGAGTACACCTGGGAGCCTCTGAAGGTCCTAAGGAGGGAGAGATTAGATTTGTGTTTGTGGAAGATCACTCTGGCCACCAAGTTGACAGTAGTTAGAAGGGGCAAGAGTGGGGCCGGGAAACCAGTTAGGAGGCCCACGGGGTCACATAGCTGAAGACAATGAAGGGTGGGACCAGGGAAGTGAGAAGGTGAGCAGTGGGTGATTTGGGAGGCATTGGTGGCAGAACCTGATGTCCACTCCGGCTCCTTGAACCCCTTCATGTGCCTTTCTCTCGCAGGTTGCCCTGTAACCCATGCTCCACTCCCTCGTGTCCCCCCTGTGAGCCCTCGCCCAGTGTGCCCCGCACTGTCTGTGTGCCCCACACGGTCTGTGTGCCCCACACTGTCTGTGTGCCTTGTGTGCCCTGCCCCCCGGGCCGCTTCTGAAGCCCCTCGGTGCTGGTGGATGGATCCTGAGGGACCGGAGCTGGGAAGCTGGTGTCTCTGCAGGTCGAGCCTGACCTGGGTTCAGCGGCCACTAAGAAAGCGAAGCCAGCAAGGAAGACTGAGTAGTGCCAGGTGGGCCGTCTGCCCGCAAGGCGCTCTGATACTGCAGGGGGCGCCCTGGCCCCCATTGCTTAGGAACAGCCTCTCCATAGGTGAATCTGCTGATGTTCTCTAGTTCTCTGCTGCCGCAAGAGCCTGTGTCCTTAGTCAACTGGCAAATAAAGCCGCACTCGGTGGCCCTGCAAATGTCTTTCTTTATTGGTCATTTATGATGCTGTGTCCAGCAGCCGGTACTGCTGCTCATTGGGCATCAAGAGGAATGTGGCCACATTCTGTATTTGTTGGATGCCCCTCTGCTTCCACAGAGGCTTCCAGAAAGGCCCACAGGCCAGAAACCAGTTAAAACCAGGCTACTGGTTCAGAGCCAAGTAATAAAAACATGAAAAGGGGAGGGAGATAATTATGCCGGAAGCATATGCCAAAATACTCTAAATGAGAATATTCTTGTGATGATCCCACCCCAAACCTCATGCCAGCTGGTACAATGTGGTCATACATTCATAATATCCTTACTGATTGCTTGGAAGGTGAAGGTTCTACTTCAGGGGCTGGTTAACCCAGGGGGTAGTGCTCTCACCCCCCAGACACCTTGTTAACGCCCCATTAAATCCTTGCAGCAATCTATGAAAAAGGCATCGTTATTTTCCTCCACTTTACAAATGAGGAAACTGAGGCCCAGAGAGGTTAAGAATCTTGCTCAAGATCACACAGTTAGTAAGTGACGGGCCCAGGACCCAAACACAGTGCTTCAGGCTCCAGAGATGCTCAACCAATTCATATTCTCAAGTAGTCCTCACTATTTGCAAACGACTGCTGGGGGCCAGGGGATACCAAAAGTGCAAGAGATCCCCATCATCCGGGCACTTCTAATTAGAGAAGGAGCTAGAACCAGTACATGTAATGCCTCACTCATGCCTCAATAAGGGCCTAGTAATAACATAATAATAACAATTTCTGCCACTTACTAAGCACTTCTGATACACCTTATATTGTACTGTGCACATTACATAAATTAACATATGTTAATTCAGATGGGAAACTGAGGTGCAGAGAATGGTTTAGTCAGTTGCCCAAAGCTACGTGCAAGGACAAAGATTTGGACCCAGTTCTAGCTGCTTCCACTGCAGCATTATTCTAACCACTCTGCCTCACTGCCAAATTCCAGAGAATACACACGACAAAGACTGGGAGAAAGTCCTGGCTTGGGGAGAGCAGAGAAGGCTTCATGTAGCTCAAGCGTAGCTCAAGCATGTCAAACTCGCAGCCTGGACTCCATCCTAAAAGCAGTGGGAGGGTTGCAGGCCTTGAGCCCAGGGATGACATGACTGGGGTGGGGGGAATTGTAGCAAGTTTCACAGCTGAGAGGACAGCTGAGAGGCAGGGAGAGAGCTGAGGAATAGTGTGCCAGAAGCTGAAGGGGTCTCGCCTAAGGCAATGACAGTGGGAAATGGAATAGTAAGGGGTTGACTGGAGGGAGTCAGGGAAGGGCCCAACTTTGCAATGGCAGATCAAGAGGAGAAAGCTGGGAGCAGGAATCTCGAACACCTTTTTGCACCTCACCCTCCAAATACGTAGCTCTTCTTAATGAGCTGAGATGATGTTTCTATTAAGGATCTGCCCTCTGGACCTGCCAAGAAATTATGAGAGATGGAGTGGCTCCTGACACTGCCAGAGGCTGTTAGGACATGATTCCACATGCCTGGCAGACGGGGCCATGATGACTGGAGACACACAAACACACTGCTCAGCCTGCTGTGGTTCCTGTGTGTGTGTGTGTGTGTGTGTGTGTGTGTGTGTGTGAGAGAGAGAGAGAGAGAGAGAGAGAGAGAGAGAGAGAGAGAGAGATTTCAGTGAGCTTGAATGCCATGGAAGGGGGCTTCTAATAACTGAGCACAAACAGGCAGTCCTTACTTTCAGTCCCTGTGCAAAATTTGTCCAGAATGTGCTCAGCTTGATTAACATGACAGCCTAAACAGAACCAACTCTTTGGCTCTAGAATCCTAGGCCCATTCTGTCCAATACGGTAGCCACTACCTACATCAGGCTGTTTAATTTATAATTAAATAAAATAGATCCTGAGACATGGGAGCATGGAACAGACTAATGAATCTCAGGGAAGAGGGGGATGGGAAGAGATTAACCAAGAGCTTATATGCACACTAGAGGCCCGGTGCACGAATTTGTGCATGAGTGGGGTCCCTCAGCCTGGCCAGTAATTTGGGCCAATCAAGGCTAGCCAGGGGGAGGGATCGTGGGAGGTTGGCCAATGCAGGAGGCTGGCTGTGGGAGCACACTGACCACCGGGGGGCAGCTCCTGCATTGAGTGTCTGTCCCCTGGTGATCAGTGTGCATCATAGTGACCAGTTGACTGGTAATGGATGCTTAGGCTCTTATGTATGTAGATATGCATAACCCATGGGCACAGACAATGGTGCATAGGCCTGAGGGAGTGTGGGTGCAGGGTATCAATGGGGGAATGGAGCATTTTAAATACTTTCAAAATAAAGATAAATTTAAAGAAAGAAAACTTAGGTTCTTCAGTCACACTAGCCACATTTCAAGTGCTCAAGGGTTTTGTGTGGCTGGTGGCACCACACTGGTGTGTACAGATAGGGACTGTTCCCATGACTATCAGAATCAAAAGCAGTCCTACAGTTGGCCTGGCCCAGCCTCTCACTCACAGACGAGGAGTCTACAGGCCCAGGTTGATGGAAAGATGTGCTCACAGACACACAGCTAACAGGTGGGGCCCGGAGCCCAGGGATGACGCCAGCCAGTGGGTCTCTCCACGCTTGTTATGCTTCCTCCAAGCACTAAGGTTTGTTATTCTTTCAGGCTAATAAATACTTCCCCTTTCCCCTTCTTTCATGCCCCTAAGGGCAGAGGCACTTTCTCTGAGATGCTGAAACTCTTTCCTGGGAATATAGTTCCCCTTTAAATAACAACTAGCAACCTCCAAACTCAGCATCCCCTCATCCTTTGAGCATCTGGCTCAGTAAGAGCACAGACTTCAGGCTGTGGCCAGAGTTGCCATGGGAACAATCACCCCAGAGTTGTGACCTAGGCGTCCATGCACCTAGACTTCATGGAGACTTCTGCAGGCTCCTCCCCCACCCCCACCCCAGCACATACTGTCCAGTCCAACCTGGCCCTTGTTCCCACACCTGTGTGTCCTCTGACTTGCCAAGACCTGTTTGACCACCCAAATGCCCGTTAAAGCTTTTTATGTGAAACCAAACTCCACAGCCCATGGCCAGGAGTGCCGCCCCCTGCTGGGCACAGATGACCACCACCTCCAGTGTTTGCATGGTATTCAATACTTTCAGGTTAGAGACCTCTTGAGCTATCCTCCTGCCTAGCCCATCTCTCTTATTTGATGGATGAGGGAGCTGGGGGCATAGACTTTGGGAAATATGTCTACCAGCACTAGGACCTCCTGGACCCAGTGCTGCCCACATAGGGGATTCTCAAAGGAACCGTGTCCTCATAATCAAAGCATTTGCCTATAATTAACTCTGGTTTATAGGAAGACTTAGGCAGAGCCATGGCAAAGTAATAAAACCTCTGGCGTATTTGATGTTTGGGAGAAACTCCCACAGGTAGCAGGATGCTTTCCAGGTGGGAATGAAAAAGAAAGAACTTGGGTTTCAAAGGTGCAACTCTCCCTGAGGCCATTAAAGAGTCTGGGACTCAGACCTGCCCCTCACTGTCCGGGTGAGAGGACCCCTTCTGAGGCAGGAGCGAAGACCCGCAGGCAAAGCTGCCTCCAGGAAGCCTGGCCAGAGGGCGATGGCTCCCAGAGAGAAAGGTCCAGGAGTCGGACACAGTGACTGGGGGATGGGTGAAGTGTGGACTGAAATGCACTGAATCAATCTCCCCACTACTATACTAGGAACACTTTCACAGCATGATCCAAAAAGGATATGCCAGGCCCGGCCCGTGTGGCTCAGTGGTTGAGCATCGACAATGAACCAGGAAGTCATGGTTCAATTCCTGATCAGGGCACATGCCTGGGTCACAAGCTCTATCACCAGTAGGGGGCAGGCAGGAAGTAACCAACCAACGATTCTCTCTCTCCTTCCTCTCTGAAATCAATAAAAGCAGATTTACAAAAAAGGATATGTTAGGAGATAACCGAAAAAAATCATCAGCAATAAAAAATTCTCTTTGGGGGTTTCATACATTTTAGTACTCGAATACAATCATCTCAATTTTGCTAAACAGCAAGTTCCTTTGAAAGATCATTTGATGGCTTATCTTGTTGAACCACTGGTTGAGATAGGTTTACTTCTACATAGTCCTCTCCTGTAGCAAAGCACACTGATGAGCATCTTGCCATAACGGAAACCATCCGTGCCGCTGGCTCAGGGATCCTGGGCTGGCGTCCTAATGCTACTACAAACATGCTGTGATTTGGACAGATCCTCCAACCTCTATGTATCTCGGTCTCCTTCTCCCCTTCAGAAATGGGGGTAATTCACCTCCTTCCCAGAGGTGTTGGGATGAATGCATTTGAAGTGACTAGCACGATGCCAATATATTATAAACACTCGATACCAGCTTGGTTGAGGGAGATCTGCTTTGCAACAAGTGCCCCTGTCTTCTGAGTTTCCCCAAAGTCTCTGGTAGCTGAGTCTTTTCTGAGCCTTTTGAAGCTCAAGTTTCAGAAATAACAGCAGCAGCAGCAGCAGCACACAGACAGCTTTTCTGTGCTGCAGAATTATAGAACATCTGGATAGACCCTCAGTCTTGGTCTAAATGCCTCAGTAAAGTGGAGGGTCCGGTATCTGAGACCCAGAGTCCAGTACTGAAGTCCACCTGAATGCTGCCCTCCCTCTGGCCCTCCGTGCTCTGAAGGATCCAACTTTTAAGCCTCGTTCATTGTGCTGTGTAGAGTGATGGTCCGTAAACCACTGCTCGCAGGTCCAGTCCAGCTGCTGCCTGTCTTGGGAAATAATATTTTACTGGCACACGGACACACCCATTGCTTCCATACTGTATATGGGGCCACAGGGTGGAGTTGAGCAGCTGCAGAGCAAAGAGACTGTCTGGCCTGCAAAGCCTAAGATGTTTACCACTTGGCCTTTTCACAGGCAAGGTTCCATGCAGAGGAGAGAGGATGTGCTGGGGGTTGGAACCCCCAGGTCCCAGTCCTGACCCACTCCTGAGCTTTCTCTGTGCCCAGAGGCGCTCACAGCCCCTCTCTCTTCTCTAGCGGAATTAGCTCTCAAAGTTTAGTTCTAACACCTTGGCATCCTTCAATTCTGTGCCAGTCTCTCTGGGCTCCTGCCCTGAGACTAGAGGACTCCACGCTCAGTGAACTCTACCTCTTCGAGAGCACCACTCCAGAGAGACGCCAGGTGAGCAGAACTTCTCAATGGGGTGTCTTAAAAGAGGTAACATGAAAGATCCCTGTTAGCAGCAGAGGGCAGTGATAAGGAGTCCAAGGCAGTTACCTTTCCCTTGTATGAGGCGGGGAACTACTTATGGAGACCGAATAGTGGACTGATGGCTGTTCCGATGGGAGTGGACATGAAGGACATCCTGGGGTACACTTGCAGGGTGCACCTGCACCCCAGGAGGGAGATGAAAGGTCTGGGAAGGGAAGCACTCTCACACTTGGGTGCTTGGCCCTGGCAACAACCCTGCGACTCAGCTTTCTAGGACCATGGCTTGTAGCTGCAGCAAGAACTGCTGCTCTTCAAGCTTTGGGAAGTCTGTGTGAAGGCTCCTAGCTCCGGGCAGGCTGTGGCAAGCAGCTGCCCCAGGAACTCCGTGCCTAGGGGCTGCCAAGGCACCAGCCACACTGGGGCACACCTACAAGGG